GTCAGTTTAGACCGGACCTCAACCAAGCCCGCCTCTTGCATAGTTAATAAACGTTTATTACATAGTAAAATCTTGGTACGGTATTATGACTACGTGGAGCAGTATCTGATGTTTACAGATCTAAAATCTCCCTTCACAGCGATCAAACTAATCCTCTTTGCTCTATCCTTAGGTCCTTGCTCCGGGCAAATCCTTAATAAACGATCATTCCTTTCGCATTTATAAGCGAAAGTCATTCATAAAAAAAAAAACATGTAGATTTGGTTTAAGTCAATATGCGTTAAACAAAATATCCTAAATATATAGATTGACAATATGAGCTTACATTTTTATGATATCAAATTATCCACGTGCAATATAATATTTATTTGGCTTTCTTGACTGAAGTTACTCGATATTTCATTTAACTGATAACCTGCAAGCAGATTCTGTTTGCATGTTGACCTCATTTCCTGACTTAGGTCATCTCTACACATTTAGGGCATGTTGTTCCTGTAAATATGTGGTTGTGTTATTGTTGTTCACCAGGTTAGCACATATCTGTATGTGATATTTAAGGCACTGGTAGATAACTTGTGTATTACTAGGTCAAGCCAGGCCTTATTAGATGGGTTTAAGTAAAGTATTTTTAAAACATGGCAAACTAAATGCAATGTAAGTACAGCAAGACTTTATATTAGTTGAAGTTTATTTATATTAAGCTTTTAAAATAGCTTCTCCTGAATAAGATTGGTAGTAAAATCTTACTCAGGAGTAAGATTTTAGGAGTAAGACGATACATTTTAAAACTAACTTAAAAATAAGAAAGAATATAATATGAATTATTCAAATAATTTGTATACATCCTTTAAAATCATTTTCTAAATTGTGTAGATTCATATAGATGTTTCTCTATTTTTGATTAGCATTGTGTTGATTGTAGTTTTAAATGAGATGTTTTTGTTTACTTTGTACCTCAAGGGATGCCATACCCAATAAAAGATGACTTCATTTTAAATCTGGAAGCAATCAGTTGTACCAATGAATGACTGGAAACCAACTGTCAGCAGGGTTCAGATGTTTGATCTTCTAAAAGGCAAATCTGTGCGTTGCGTTCCTTTGGTGAAAGCAGTGAGGTGTGTTTTGTTTGTTGTTTCTATTATGCACCCATGTTCTTGTATTTTAAGGTTTGTATGACTCAGTTTTCCAGGTAACGACAGTGATCCGGGTTAAAAAGGTAAATAAAGACCTGAAAAACACCCATCCAGCCTGTTTAGTAAAGCATTAAAAAAATCAAGTAAGGTGTATGAAAAGGAGGTGTCTGCCATCAGAGATTTCCAACCCAGCAAAAAAAAAAATTAGAAGCTCTTCCAAAGGAATCAATGGATTATTGATCAAACCTTTAGACCAAGGCCCTTTTTCCCTGATTGCCCACTTTTGCCTGTTCTAGGAAATGGCCCGTGTAGTTTAAAACCTCATCCATCTCCAGATAATGAAGACCACATCACTCTCTGATGCTTTGCTGCTAGGCTGTTTCATTTTATTGTATGCTTATCTGGATTTGCGCCTCAATACACTTTCCTTTTTGATAAAACCATGTATTTGGAGTGGCTCAGCTTATCCTAAACAGTGTTGTCAGGATAGAATAGGAAAGAGCCATTTGTTATTCTGAGGGCTTTTTATTATTTCAGTTTGTTAGGCTCTCCTTTGCCCTTGTGTCTTTCTGTATCTTTTAAAGCCTAAAACACTGAAGAAAATTGGGTGCAATTTTTTTATTGGAAGATTTGCCCTTCCAATGTTAGCAGCCCAAAGAGTTGTTGTTGCTTTTCCTTTTGACCTGTAAACTCCTGTTTCTAAGTATCCCTAAACCCTCTTCTCTTAATTTGACACCTCTTATTATTTATTTTTCAAATATTGTAAAAAGCTTAAATGCTTATTTGATAACAGCATATCTGTTGGTGGCCTCCAACTGTTTTAATAGTTTTTGCAACAGTAACCCACCCTGTTGTGGAAGTGGGCAGACAGACGATAATGTCATTCTCAGAGTAGGATGCTTCATTTTCAGGGTCCTTCTCCAGGTTGAGTTTGTGGTCGAAGAGTTTTAAAAACACCTTATTCACAGAAAAGGCAAAAAATGTCTCTTCATTTGAGCAGAAACAGAGAGCACAAAGATAAACATTAGAACTGGTTCAAAAGGCTGCTGGCATGCTTTTGATGTCAGATATTTATTTAGAGACCTTAAACAGTGATGGGGTCAAATTAACCCCAAAGGTTACATAAGGGTTCTTAGCTCAGCTTAGCCAGTCAAAAGTTTTTTGTTCTGTTTTTTTATTTTTTAACCTTTCTCTATTCTCAAATAAACAGTCGTTTACATTGGCCAAATTTTCCAAAATTGCCCAGGAATTACTGTGGTATTCAGAAAATCCCTCATTTAGACTTTTAGGGATTTCTTGTGGGGTTTTTTTTTTCTTTTTATTGCACGACTGATAACCCACAGTGATACTGAATAACTGGCAGATGCTGTTTGTTTAAATGTTTTCCACACATACAGGGGTTTGAGTAGAAAAAATAAAATGTCAGCAGATTATAAACTTGCATGACATTGCCTTTTGTTCGATAATTTTGGCTAAATATCTTTTAGTTTGAGCCATTCTTTGGGCTTTTATATTATTTATTGACACAAATATAACTTTTCCAGCAAAACAACTATGTTGTTATTGCAACAGGAAATCATCCGTCTTTCAGAAAATCATGTCGGGTCAAAATGAGTATTATATTTAAACTCTTAGTCTTTGTTGTTATATGTCTATGACAACAATACACATATCTTTCATCATCTCATTTTTTTACACAGTTGTCCTTGCCTGCCCATTATTGTCCTGGGGTGTCACTCCCACTGTGTAATTAGGTCAGTCAGCTGTGGTCTGAGAAGGGATGACATAATAAACACAAGAGCTGAGCAGTTGTTATGAGAAGCCTCTTGCTTAAGCTCTCTGAAAGTCTGTTTAGAGATTGTTGTTTTGGTTAAACTGACAATGTTTTATTAGAGATTGATCAATTAGGTGAAAATATAATGATAAACAATTGGATCATATCTCCCCCTTATCACTCAGCACATTAATAATCTGAACCCAGTCTTCGAAACTTGCTTACACATTCTTTTTTGTGCTTAAAGTTCAGCTAAATGCTTCAATAGGTTTTGTATGTGAACCTGTACTGTTCTTATTGGTTCACAGTCGTGTTTTGCTGTCTATGTTGTTTTTCTTTCTTTTTGTTTTTTGCTGGCAGCGTATTGTCTGAGATACCAGGTGTAAAGATGTCTGCCTTCTCTTGGAGATAATTGAATTGGAAAGCTTTCAGTCTGCGTAGGATTGTCTGCTAAAAAGGCATGTGGAAAACCAAGAATTGTTTAGGTAGATTAAAAGTTTACCCAGAAGTGGATAAAATAAGTAAACCAGACAATATTAAACATGTCACAACAAGGGATCTAGAGGTCTAAGGCACAAGTGTCTGAGTTTACTTCTTAGAAGAACAGAAGGTTTATTTAATAAAATATCATAACTACCATAACTGTTGATGCATCTAGCAGCTATCCACTGATGGCTCTTGCCTTACCTCTTTTGTTTTTCCCACGATCTGTTGAAATGATTAGTGTTATGTCTAAGTTGAGCGTGCATTCACACAAAGACAGACTGTTCATTTTTATAAAGAATGAAGAAAAAATGTGCAGCCACAGGACAGAACGCAGCATCATCTAGGTAGGAATCCTGGGCCCATTGGTAATGTTCTGACACTACCACATGCAGAAAAAAAACACACGTACAGAGTAAACATAGAATTGTGCCTATGGGGATTTGACACAAACATTTCTTGACCTGTTTGTGGGGTTACAAGTGACACACTGAGTTGACTCATTTAAAACTAAGAATCTGAGAATGCTACTGTCATCCATAGCAGACCAATGTTTGCTTTTGTATGAATGCTACACTGAACGACACCATTGACTTGTGAGTGTGAGGCTCATGCAGGTTAAAGAGAGAGAGGGATGGAAGTGGATGACATTGCTTAAGACAAGACTCATCTCGCTTGTACACACAGAAACCCGTAACAGGTGTTCTGAAATTTTCCAGCCTTGGACTCGGTTTCAATAATTATCATCTACACCAATCTCTGAAAACAGTGGATCCGTGTGGACACGTAGCCTAAATGACAACATAGCTTTGCTGACACACTCAGTCTGGTCTCTGTGTAGACTGAGTTAGTAAACACCCAAATTATCATCCATTCTCCGAAACTAGCACGTAGAAGGACTGATCAGTCCCTGGAAACAAAAAAGAAACTCCTTTGTGTTTAGACTAGATTATGATGCATGTCAGCCAAAATGCAGCTTATTAAATCTCGACATTCAAGTTATGAAGGACTTTAATTCTGTAATTATTTTTATAATACCAGCTAGAGCTGTGGAATTAGGCCCCGTCCACACGAAGTCAAAACGAACACGAAACGTTTGTCTTAAAGACGGAGACGTAAAATAAATGTAATCGACCACATGAATGCATGAAAACGCTGCAAAATGTATGCCAGGCCTGTAAGTGGCGCTGTGGTGCCAAAGCAAAAATAGGCGAAAACAGGCAACGAAATGTTGGGCATGCGCAGTAATATTTATACAACAACCAAACCGGAAAATGGCCCTGCGGGTCCATTTTCGTGGTTCAGTCAAATTGAGGTGATGAACTATGTCGTCTATATTGCTCTGTTCTTCCTGGAGATATTCCAGAAGAAGAAGATTCTATTGTAAGCCCGACAGCAGGGTGAGTAGCATGAGCAGCAACCATTCAACACAGTACGGCGCCATTGTCGTTGTGATACTGTGTCGCGCATGCGTGTTTAGAGGCGATGCTATGACGCATGCGTGTAAGAAAAAAAATGCAGTTAGAGCTTAAAGATGGAAACGCGAAAACGGCGTTTCAAAATCTTCCCACTCTGAAGGCTTAATAAAAAAAACATTGTTTACAGACTCC